GTCTACCGGCGTTGCAGGGGCATGTGCGTTCTTGGGATGGGGGGGGGTTGTCTGGGTAGCTTTTTCGATGGATGTGGTCGCGATATGAGGCCGGATGCTGTTTTGGCCCCTGTGCATCTGCTGCGTTTAATGCTGCGCCCGCTTTCCTTTGTTCTCACGTGGTGTCTTCCCTCGCTCGAGCGTGGATACCTGGGGGGAAAAAAAGGTCGCAAAGGATGACGGGTGGTCCGCCGGTTTTACCTGGTCACTTGCCTGGTGAAGGTGTGTTTTGGTTGCCATGGTCGACATCCATGCCGGTGGCGGGTTACTGCCCTCTTCGTTGCTTAGGTTCGTATCGAATTCCGGATGATCGAAGTTTGCGGTGACTGTCGCCTAAGAAATGCGATGATGAGCTTAAAAAAAATTGCCCTGGGCGACGTTAAATAACCCGGCCCGATCGGTGCTTTCGTTTTGGCTGGATTTGATCTGGTTTTGGGCGCGGGTGCATCTGACGTGTTTTCTGGTGGGCCACTTTTTCTTCGTCCTGGCGTGGTGTCTTCTCCCGGTTGAGCTTCGGGAGCGTGGGGAAAAAATAGCTTGCACGGGTGCTCGGGCTGCTTTACCTGCTCGTGTTCCTGCCGAAGGTGTGCACTTTTGTTGTTTAGTGCGGTGTGACGCAGTCGTTTTTTACTCTTTTCTTTCTTTGCCGCTGAATTGTCACGGTGTCAGGCTTTGTGTTGTCCGATGTTTTCTGACGCCGGAGTCATGATGCTGATGTTGGGAAGGCCTTGCATTGGCCCTTCTTATCCTGCCCGTCTTGAATTGAGGTCGTTGTGGGACTCGCTTGTCTGCCTACCAGTGTGCGTGCATTTGGAGGCTTTGTGGGCCTGTTACATTTGGAGCTGTTCCGTTGTGGTGTGTCTGTTCTTCTGGCGTGGATGTTGCTGTCCTTTTTGTGGCTTGGGTCGTTTTGGCTGGGGTCCAATTCCCGGCGAGCGGGATTTGCGGTGGCCCATCTGCCTACCGCGGAAACTGTCCTCTTCAGTCTGGTTGTCCCGACGGGAGATAAACTTGCTTGGGTTAAATGTATTTGGGTCTTTCCCTGGCCCCCTCGGAGGAAGCTGTTTTTTTCGTTGCTTGGGTTGTTTTCTATCGCACGGAAAAAACGAAAAAAACGAAACAAAAGAAAAAATTGGTCTTCTGATGTTTGCGGTGCGTACAGTGACTGTAACAAAGGAATGATTACAAACGGAATCAAATCGTGGCTAAACAAATTTCCCGGGGAAAAAAAAACGAAAAACATTGATGGTTCACCGCTGCTTCCCTTCACAATATTGGGCAGGCAAAAACAACAAAAACAAAACGCCGGAACATTGGGACATGAGCCGTGGCGTTACGACATACTCATCTGAAGCAGTTTCCTGGGCTCATCTCCCTTCCATTACAGACTAGACTGCATCCATGTGACTCCGATTCCATCTGCAGCTAGCTTAAAAGGTCCCCTGTCGACTTCCGTGGACACGTCTGCCCTGTTTTTTAAGGCCCCAGCTGGATGCTTCTGTCCGGTTTTACGACCGCAGGTGTGTCCCTTTCTACACAACTCACGAAAAATGGGAAAATTCAGCTACAAGGTCTGACGATTCACTGCCGTATCTTTCTTCTTATGTGAATTTGCTGACTACTGTGGTCAGGCCTGTGGCCCCCGGAAACAAATGAGAAAATTCAGCCCCGGGATCGCCAGTGCCCGTCTTTCTCTTGGTAGGTCGTCATACGGTCTTCATTTTCTCGGTGTGGCCACGTCTGACCTTATGCTACTGTCTACTCCACCCTCAGCGGGTCACAACCCTGTTCTGTACGCGATGTTGCTCTGCAGTTCCAATTCAACTCGACAGTTCTCTGTGCGGTATAACCTGCAGTACTCTATATTCTACACCTTACTCTACTCTGCAGCCTCTGGTCGACATCCTCTACTCTACTCTCTATTTCTCTGTATTGTACTCCGCTCTGTATGCCACTGTACTCTCTGCTGTGTCTACTCTTCTCTCGCTGTACTGCAATCTCTACTCTCAGGTACTCTCTATTGTCAGCTACTCTCAGCTCTGTATTCGCAGATACAGAAACTCTCAGCTCTCATATCTACTGAATGGAATTACTTCGCCTGACCCTTCTGGCCGCGGGCGGAGCTGTGCTGGCTAATCTCGTCTCTCCTAACGCCTTCTGTAGCTGTGCCTCTTGAGCATCTGCTCTCTGTATGGCGATCTCCTCGGGAGTCAACACCAACTGCTGGCTTGCCATGACGCCAGCAGACTGACTCAGGGTCTGTGCAATCGTTGTCCCTACAGTCCCTGAACTACTCGCCTGGGAGCTTTGCTGCGCAGCTGTGGCCATGGCTGCTGAAGTAGCGGCTTCACTTGCGAACGCCCTGCGTGCCTCTGCGGCCCTAGCTCTCTGCTGCTGCTGCTGTCTTTCCCTAAGCTGGCGGAACAGAAGCCTGTCACCCTCAGGTCCTAATGCCACGTGGGCCAGTGGGCGCCTTGCCGATCGCAGGATCCTATCGTCCTCGGTAGTGTTCTCCCTGTCACTTATAAGCTACAGCACTGCATACAATCTGCACTAGGTCACACTCGATGCCTACCGCAACGTAGTGCACAGACGGATTTAAAATAAATAAAATACTTAATCGGTGGCTATGTCAGAGTCTACACATTTGGGTCCAACAGGTAAGTCCAGATTCCTACAAACGAAACTATTTTTACTTGACTAGTCCGCAAACAGAGAGCAGATGAGGAGAAACTGTTCTACCTATGCTGTCTGTCAGATGTCATGGTTGTACATCTAACTAATGAAAATAAAAATAGAATCATTTGTGGGGATGTTGGCAGAATGGAATTTTTCCTGAACTTATCACCTGAAATCTACCCCTCCCTCAGTTCTTCCTGATTTCTGCTTGACGTGAGCGTTCCTGAGCAATCCAGATAGCGTGCGTGTCTAAAGGTGTGCACACGGCCCACCCCTGTGCCCCAAGTCAATGCTGAGCCGGCCAGCCCTGCACCATGTTTACCCTCGCGTGCCGCGAGCCCCCAAAGTCCTCAGGAATTATTTAACGTCGCAGGAATTACACCGACCGATTGGCTGATCAAGAGGCATTTAAGGACTGCCCCCAAAGTCCTCAGGAATTATTTAATGTCGCAGACAGGACGACGATCACAGCCAATGGAAGGTAACCCCTCCGGTACTTATTTATAGGCGTCCAGTACTCGTCTCCCCTGTAGGGCTGGCCTGCCCTTCATAACCCATCTAACAGCGCAGAAGGCAGACAAAGCACAAAGTAGCAAAGCATGCGTGCTCTACTCCCGGTGGGTTGGCATGGTGACCGTGACCCAGTGCTCGTCCAGGGCCCTTTAGATAGCTCCGCCCTCTCCTTCCAGATGCTCCACGTGAACAATGCCGACTCTCAAGGTTGAGCGCACTCGACTCATCACATGAGAGGACTCTCAAGACAGAACACACATCCTCACGGTAAGAAGTGTCGAAGAGGGTAGATAAGGTTAAGAGCAACGTACGTCAAAATAGCTGCCGCCAACCACAGATATTCGCAGCAGATGACCTGATGCCGATTGTGATGAGCAATCACTGCTTCGGCACCACTGTTCCACCTCAGCATCAGTCGCACATCAGATACTTCTCATCACACTGCGAAACACCCAACACCACTTCGTAGCCTTCCTGGCGATTCCCCTCACCCCCTGGGTCGCCTGCTTGCCTTCACCCTCCTCACTACACACTCCCTGCGGCTGCTCACCCAGCAGACTGCATGCATGTACCGCACAGGCAGAAGACAAGCGCCAGATTAGCGCAACGTACCACAGCTCTGATACCAAAATGCAAGGAAAATGAGCGATTGCGAATTCCAGAAACCAAGCAGCATCATACACGTGACACCAGATAGTCGTGACCTCGAACCAAAAGCAGAATTGCAACTCGAGTTCCACCAAATAAGAACACAGCAAAAGCTCATAAGTGACAATGTTGGAATAGTCTCATCATCATCAACAAAGAACCAATGTCGATCTCCTATCTGGCGCTCTGCGCCCAGACTACAAATGGAAGATCCTATCTAGCCTGTCTACAATGCCGCTGGTGATGTCAACAGCTCCCCGAAGTACGAGCAGATCTCGGCCAATGCCGTTCGCCTCAAGCACCAGGTATGTCTCTCGCATCACTCACAACCTTGACCCCCCACTCACAGATGCCATATGCACCCAAGGACCACCATGCGCCCCATCCATTTAGCTCAGGGCAGCTCGGCTATGGCTGCCTGCTCTTCCTGCTCATGCGTGGGCGCTGGCCAGCGATTAGCGCATCATTCAGCCAGTGCCCGAATGCTGAATGCGAGGGCAGGCACTTCCTAAATGGAAGTGTCCAACTGCCCGCAGCCTGTGTTGGGTCCACGTTGCGTATCTCGCCCATGGCCTGCCTCAGATACATTTGATAAAGGGAGCCAGGGCCTGGGCGCTCTCAACCAACTGGCGCTGTGCAACTGCCTGAATTTTCCCAGTTGCGTGGTAGTCCAAAATAGGCCTCTCATCCTTGGTCGGGCCTACCTTGACCTTGCTGAAAACAGGGCCCGTAAGGGCTCGTCGAGGCCTTGAGCCTCGCAATAACTTTAATAAGCACTTTCTTTCTATTTTCTTACCGACCAACAGGAGTGTTGGGTAGCGAGCGGAAAGGATGAACAAAAAACAATCGAGGGGGAGCGACCGAGCAGGAATGTTGGGAACATAGTGATCGTGATTAACGCAGTTTCCCTTGCTCTTCCTCGGAAGCATTCATCGAGCTGGTGAAAGTTCCATGAAAGTCGGAAAACCGCTCTCAGTAAACAGCAAAGCGATCAGCCAGGTTACTCGGCATGAATTTCGCGTTTTTCATGAGTGGCGACTTTTTTATTTCTTTTATTTTGATTTTTTTTTTTGGAATTCTGACAGTGGAAGTGGTATGGCAAATTGGTTTCTTCTGTGCAGTTTTGGATATTCATGTTGCCGGTTGATGTCGCAAAGACACGGATTCAAACAAGCACAGACCTGAGCGCAAGCACAAGCCTCATCAAGAATATGATGCTAGTAAGCCTTCGTCATTCCGTCATGAGTCCTTTCCTGTGCATTCTGGAACTTGTGCGGAAACGTTGTTGCCATGCGGATGACCCTCGTAGGCCGGGGCTGTTGGTGGCCGATTCGGCCTCTGGACCACTCTATGACGATGCTCCGCCGAAAATCTTTTGGCAGCATAGTCCACAGCTATTCAAAATTTTCACAGATGGGAAAAGAAAAAAAAGATCACACAGGATCCAGGTTGGTTGTGCTGATGGGTGCAACTCTCTCACTGTGTGTGTGTGTGTGTGTGTGTGTGTGTGTGTGTGTG